AAACGTTGTTGGCTAGTTAGCTAGCCTTTTGCTACAGACAAATAGCAAAACAGTAGCTGACTAGCTTGCTCAGGCAGGAGGTACGGATCAGGCAGCGACACTAATTTTAGCAAAATGCCAGCTAAAGAGCAAGCTAATTTGCATCAAACTTTTGTTAGCTAATTAGTGAATTTTTGCTAACTTTAGCTAACTGCTATGTGATTATGTGTATGTCACTTTTTGATCTCATAACCATCTTCAAACTGTGGTTGCCTTTTAACATAGATTAACCGAGCACATGTACAGGAAGGAAAGGCTCGCTCAAATGTTATTGGAGCACAGAGCCAAAAGGGACTTAAGAACGGTGAATTGTTCAAAGGCCAAACAAGAGTATGTTTAGCAGACAATAACTGATGCTATTGTTTGTTTATGTTGGTCAAAAAGAGCCATCAGTGTTAAACTGAGACTGTTTATAATCAGTTCCTTTAGTATGTTCAAGTACAAGTTTGGAAGTATCATCATTATCATTATTGTGCAAGCAGCATTTTAATGTTGTAGCAGCACTTTCTGGGTAGTTTAAATTCTAACAATTCATTGTTTTTTATAACCTTTTTATAACCAATAACTGTAGATAAATGTAAACAGTACAATGTTTAAATACCTAAAAACTGTACTGAAGTTTGGTACTTATACCAGTACTAATGGTACTGATAAGATACATTATCAATACCAAACAGAAACAAAGCTGCAGCTGGTGTTTACAGTTGTGGAAAACACTTCCTCGCACTGTACAGATTCTGTGTCTTCAAACTGACACTGGACTCACCGTGTTAACAGTCGGCACCGAGGCCGCCGTGTCGTCTCCCTCCGAACTGCAGCGACTGTAAAGACAAACAGCTGATATGGCCGAGGGACGCCAGGGACGCAGAGAGAAATAAGGATGATGCCGCTGATATGTGATAACGTCTCACAGTGTTTCATGCCTGTCGCTCATACAGACTTCAAATAGTCCGTTCCAGCACAGTCCCCATCACTGTAGCTTATAGCGCTGATAGTCACGCCGGCTTTTAGGGTTGACATATGTGTGTGTGTGTGTGTGTGTGTGTGTGTGTGTGTGTGAGAGAGAGAAGAAAAATGAGAAAAATTATCAAACAACCGCTAACTTTGATGAGATTATCATTTCGTTTTAATTAACAGTCTTTTAAGTCGAGGGGGGGGTAAAACGGATGCTCACACTGGGGGTGATAGCCGTGCTCAGACCTCTTTACACATGTCAGTGATTCACTCTTTAACTCATCCAAAAAGGCTCTTATCTCTTCGTAGCTTGGGTTTTTACTGCCATCAACGTTAACATTCATTCATTGGATGCTTAAAGTTATTGTGTAGCTCCTCAAAGGGCCATGGTTGCTCAGAACTGGACAGGGTTGGGAACTTTCTGGAGGTTAATAAGCAGAAGATCTCATTTCTAGGGCGTCAAATACCAATGCTGTGTCACTGCCCTTTGGCGTCTCATACAGACGCAGAAGGTACCCCGTCCAGCTCCAATGTAACCCATAAAGAGCAACAAAGTCAGTGTAAACTGGTGGTTGGGATTGGATGGACAGGTCAAACAAACAAGACTTTCACTGGAGTTCATGTCCAATCAGATAACAGACAGTAATGGCTGCCCCTAACCTCACGTAATGTACTTAATCAATCTGGAGCTACAGTGAAGCACTTTGTAACATGAAAGGAGCTTTTTAAAACATTGAAAATGGAAGAGACCCAGGAGACTGGAGTTCATGTCCCGTGTGAATCCAAAAATTAAGACTTTTAAGTTATATAACGTAACATACAGTCATGGCAACCTTGACTTGTGCCACGTAACATACTTATTTTAGCCCAAATCATGATCTTGTCCTAAACCTAAACAACTACTTTTGTTGCCAAAACCTTGCGATACCCTGAAGCGTCTATCTGATCGTAGAAGACGCTCCACTTCTGAAACCCTTGTGGTACCATGTGCTCCTTCTGTCTGAGACGCAGAGAAACGTGACAAAGCAGCGTCGGTATTTGACAAATTGGGGTGAGAACGTGTTGTAATTAGACATGATTTTAAAGTTGAAATTCCTCGAAAGAGGCGGCACTTTGAAAGGTCATCATACTGCTCTGTAAATGCTCCGAGTAAATTAACCGTGATTGCTACTTCTATACATTATTTCTGTGCTTTAAGTTGCCCTTGCCACCACCTTTACGTCTCCTTCATTCTTGCTGTCTGGCCCCTCTGTGCTTCTCCAAATAAATCTTCCAAAACGCAGGGTTTTCCCTGGCTGTTTCAGAAGGGCTTAGGTGGTAACCTTGCCAGTGGTGTTTGCTGTATGGGAGGGAAAGGGAGGCTAGAGGAGTCTGTGAGAGCACACGATAACCTTTAGGGCCAAACATCAAGCTCTCTTGCGCTGAAGCCTTGTGCCAGGAAAAGATATGAAATATTTTTCTTGACATTTTGGGGGATTGATGTATTTTTCATGTTCTTTTAGGAAGGCAGTAAACTACAAGCTCTCTGCTGGGTTCATTTTGGAGTTTTAAAGGCACTATTGTGTTTTTGTTTTAACGCTTACTGAGGCAGGGACAGTGGCTTTAGAGAACATTGCTTTTGAAGGAGCCGTCAGAACTTCCAGAGGCAGAGATACACGAACCCGTCACACGGGGAAGCTTTCCAGTACGACTGCTGTGCGTCTGTGTTGTTGAGTAGTTGTTTATGTGGAGAGATTCAGTTTGTTTTTGTCCGTCCTGTCATTCAGAAGTAGAGGTGTAAGAAAATATTTTTAAAAATCTTATTAAAATATATTGTTTTGCGATATTTACACTGTAGCTTGATTTTTGTGGTTGAACTCCAACTGCTAGATAGCAGTGTTGTAAATGTAAAGTGAAGGTGGTGATATTTGATGTAGGGAGGGGGATTGATAAGATTTTAGAGTCAAAATGATGTCATCTTAACTGGATGAAAGTAGTGTATGAGTTTGACGTCAATGTTTGTCAGACAAACACAACAGAATCTATTAAAAGCTCAAGGGGATGCGATCCCGATGCAGATCCAATCTTGCTTAGTGATATTGAATTGTAACCCCTGTATTGTGATATGTATCGTATTGAGTCCTGCTGATACACAACCCTGTTCAGACGTTGCTCCATACGAGCAAAATTTCATAACATGATGCAGCTGTTTTTTTTGTCATGAGCTTTTTATATTTTCACTCTTTCTGACCGAATTATCAAAAAGAATTCAATTACATTTCACTAGTTTTTCACCTCCATATTTAATTGGCAACAGATAAGGAAGCGATCATCCTTGTCCTTTTGGGACGCAATTCAGTCATTTTCGGAGCAATTACGACCATCACGACGAGATTAACTTCCCTGGCAACTCAATTGTCCTCCGTCTTTTTGTGATTTAATTTGCAATGCCATGTCAAGAGGCGATTGGTTTTAAGTTTTGAGGCTGCGGAGCTCTTCTTTGACATATGAAAGCAAACATTGCTCGAGGAACCTACATTTAAAGACACACAAGTATCATTGTTCCTTTGATTTCCTTTTTTATGCAGTCATCGCTTTCAATGATATTTTGGGTGTCTCTGTTGCCAGCAGTGGACATTCTTTCCTATTGGAAAGAAAATGGAAAAGATTGATGTTGTGGACCTAAACTGTCAGTTGTAACATCGCTGCAACTTACAATTATCTAAATAATATTTGTGTTTCCTGCGGTAACTGGAATTTACATTCTTGGCCAAGAATCGTGACATCTTCCTGCATCGCCACCTCAGAAATTAGCTTTTTTATCTACCAGTGAAAAGGCCTGTCAGATTTTGATAATGACATTTTGAAATAATGACAGCAGAAAAGAGGAGAGCAGGGATACGGAGGGGGGGCGAGGTGTCAAAAGAAGAAAGAGGAAACTAAATATGAGAAAAGGAAGCAAAAGACAAAAAGAAAAGGCAGCAGGGCATAAATATAACTGTTGGTATAGCTTCGCTGTTTCCTCTACTTCTGGTAAAACAATATCCAAGTATTTCTGGGAAAAAGGGCAGTGGCTTGAAGAGGTGTGGAGGTTTGTCCACCGGGGGAAGGTTTTTAAAGAAATTGTCCATGAGGGGGTAATTGTTAAAAGCCCAGCTCTTGGCAAGGTTGACGTGTGCACTGTATGTCTGAGGGAAAACATATTTCTGTGTCTGTCTGTGGCCTTGTTGTCCATTTCTGTGCACGTCTGCATGCTTGAGAAAGTGCGTATCCCGGCGTGTGCTTTCCTGCGTGTGTTTGCGTGTGCGTGCGTTTTCCCCCGGCGCTGCCTGCGTGCTGGTTAGAGCATTAATGATGTGTCTAGGGAGAGCTGCCTCTACATAATTTATCAACCAGGATTTATTAGCCGCAGAATTAACTTGTAGAGGCCGGGGAGCACAGGATGCATTTGTTCTTGTTTTGGGATTTATGTGTGGTGGATGCATTGTCATTCCCCCATGATCCATTTCTCTCCATCAGCCTCCTGCCACAGGGACGTCCCCGGGTCGTATAATTAGTTATTTTAATTTTTAGTCAGGTTTAAATTACAATTCAGAGCTTTTCAGTGTGTCTGTATGTGTTGAATAGCAATGGCAGTTAATCCTGTTCATGTTGTTTTTGGCTCATACCCCAACGCTTTATTTCTTAGAGCACAGGTTGCATTAATAGCAGTTAAATTTAGACAACATATTCAAAGACAAGAACATGACAAATACAAGCTTTTACAAAATAAAAGTCCTTGTATCTGTATCCATAGAATTGTTGTGTACTAGACAAGAAGTTTGCTGAAGTTTTTTATCTATGTCTCATCAATATTTTTTTCCAGGAAAATGTCCAGTAAATTATCTATTTCAGGAGCAACCATAACTTACTAAATGTTCTACTCCTGAGAGCTTTTTTCTTCACTCTCTTTTCTTTCTTTTTTCTTTTCTTATACGTATATTGAAACATCGGTCAACTCACTTCCTGTTTTTGTGTTTGTCTTCCAGATCACAGAGATGGGTAAGGATTCCCTCCCTGCCTGGCTGCACTGGGATGCCAGCAGCAGAATCCTACAGGGTCTACCTTTGGAGGAGGATAAAGGTGTCCATTACATCTCCGTATCCATCTCCAATGACACAAAAGCCTCCTCTTCCTCAGAGGTGTTTTCCATTGAGGTTCACCCTGAAGATCATCTGGACGCGGACTCAGCCCAGCTCGCATCCAACCAAGCCTCCACGGAAGATGACGTGCAGCCGTTCATGTGTGGCAATGAGGAGCCGGTCACGGTGCTGACGGTGATCCTGGACGCAGATTTGACCAAGATGAGCTCAGAACAGAGGGTGGAGCTCCTGGACAACATGAGGAGCTTCTCTGGGGTGGGGCTCCAGCACATGAAAATACTGCCGGTGGTCAATAACAGGCTGTTCGACATGTCTGCATTCATGGCTGGGCCGGGGAACGCAAAGAAGGTGAGCGAGGGTGTGCAAGCGAGTAAATGATGAATGAGAATAAGTGCCAATGAGTTTTCTGGATAAATAAATACTTGTTAGAGAATTAAGTTAATAATTCTCAATCTGTTTCCCAGGTGGTGGAAAATGGAGCTCTGTTGTCCTGGAAGCTCGGCTGCTCGCTGGAGCAGAGCACAGTCCCAAATATCAACAGTGTCCAGGGTCCTGCAAAGGAAGGCACAATGTCCGCCAAGCTGGGCTACCCTGTGGTGGGATGGCACATTGCCAACAAGAAACCCCATGTCCCTAAACGGGTGAGGCGGCAATTAGGCAACACTCCAACACCTGTTATGACAGTGCTTCCTCCCACAACTGTAGTGGAGCCTCCAGTGCGGATTATCCCAACCCTCTCCTCTCCCTCTATTGCTGCACCAACGGAAAGTTCTGCTCCGCCAGTAAGAGGCCCAGTTCCTCTTCCGGGCAAGCCTACAATCAGAGTCCGTGACCCCACTGCCCACACCCCAACCCCGGGACCTCCTCAACCAACAAGGGTAATGGAGACCACCAGCACCGTTTCTATCCAGCCAACAATGACCAGGCATATTTATGTGGAGGCCACTGCCACACCATCCACACCTACCAGAATTACTACCAGGAAACCTAAGAGAGTCAAAACCACACCGGCCCCCAGAGAGCCAAAGACCTCCACAGCCAAGCCGTCCAGGCGCACCACACCGTCGCCTGGTATTATCCCGGATCCTTACAACGAGAAGCCTGTGTTGCGTAACCCCATCGACCAGGTCAATGCATTGGTGGGCACCTATTTCGAGGTTAAGATCCCATCAGATACATTCTTTGATAAAGAGGATGGCACAACAGACAAGCTACGTCTAACCTTAAGACAGAACCACAATGAAGTGGTTGGAGAGGGTTCCTGGATCCAGTTCAACACAACCAGCCAACTTCTCTATGGCCTTCCTGATGTCCAACACGTTGGAAAACACGAATACTTCATGCAGGCAACTGACAAAGGTGGCCTGAATGCAATTGATGCTTTTGAGGTCCGTGTTAACCGCTGGCCCATGAATGACAAGACCCCAGTGATATTTACGGCCCGATTCGATGGTGAGCCACGTTCAATATCAAATGATATCCACAAAAAGATCCTCCTGGTAAAGAAACTGGCGTATGTGCTGGGGGACCGCAACAGCAGTACAGTAAGTCTAAGGAATATCAGCAAAGGCTCTATTGTGGTGGAGTGGACAAACACCAGCCTCCCGCAGCACCCGTGTCCAAAAGAACAGCTCGCAGCCATGAGCAGGACGCTCGCCAGTGCGGACGGAAAACCCTCGCAGACCTTCAGGTACTCTATGGAGCCTGAATTCAGACCGCTAGATGTCATGGTCAAGGGAAGGGCAAGCTGCAGAACATATTCCTTCATCCCACCAGGAGAGATTGATATACCAGAACCTCCGGCTGTCACTCCAGCTCTGGGAACAGGCCGGCAGAGCACCGATGATGTCTATCTCCACACAGTAATTCCCGCCGTGGTGGTAGCAGCCATCTTGTTGATAGCGGGTATCATTGCAATGATCTGCTACAGGAAGAAACGAAAGGGCAAGCTGACCATCGAGGACCAGGCCACCTTCATCAAAAAAGGTGTGCCGATTATCTTTGCTGATGAACTTGATGACTCTAAGCCACCTCCATCCTCCAGTATGCCCTTGATTCTGCAGGAAGAGAAGCCCCCGCTTCCACCCCCAGAGTACCCCAACATGGCCACGCCAGAGACCACTCCCCTCAACCAGGAGCTGCTGGGGGAGTACACAGCTCTGCGGGACGAGGACCCCAACGCGCCTCCCTACCAGCCGCCACCTCCCTTCACCACTCCCATGGAGGGCAAGGGTTCCCGTCCCAAGAACATGACTCCCTACAGATCTCCACCTCCCTACGTGCCGCCCTAAGACTTGTTTAACCCTCCCCTCGTAGGGTGGAGGGAGAGGATGCCTGAGGAACTGTGACGGTTTCCATTCTGGTGTTTGTCTGTCTGGACATTTACAGGGAGAGATGACAAGAGGTGCTAAAGTACAAAACAGCTACAGGGGACTTTGGTTTGGGAGGGGGAGTAATGAGTCGGGTGGGGTTTTTACAGTCGACAGATGGGATGATTGGTTGAAACAGCTGGGAGGGACTACTGTTTTAGTGGTAGCCCAGCTACTAAAGTGGCCTAAGACAAACAAATTCTCGTCACATTGGCTCTCGGATTGACCAGTTGGTCAGAAGCGAAGATCGGGAGACGCGTTCTCCCTTCCCAGCATTTCATTTTTTCCCCCTCTGTTGATTTAAAATACTGGCTTTTATTTTCTTTTTTCATCATTACCCCAAGGTTATTATTCTTTTTATTTTTCCTGGACTGAATCGTTTTGCCTAACAACTCTTCTTTTGTCTTGCTTTTAAATAATACGAGAAGACAGTGAACTGCCATCAACTCGTGTTTTTAATAAGGAGAGCAAGATTCTCTGAATATGAAAAATCTCCAATCGCCCCTGCAGACGACACAAAAGGACAGGAGGCCGAAGCGTGTGTGAATGAGTGTTTATTCAGATTCAATACGGTTTGCCTTTTAACACTAGTTGTCTGTTTCTATCCTTATTCACAATGTCTAGTAAAGATGAGAATAACAAGGTAGCCTAAAAAAAGATTTAGAGATGAAATAATAAATAATTTGTTTGTTTCATTGGTTTTAAAATTCACTGTATATCTGGAAGATGTTCTGATAGATTGTGTTATATTTTTTTGGTGGTGGAAGAAAGCGGGAAGACTGCCTCGCTAAAATAACTCGCAGGAGCTCTTTATTCCTGTTTTATTCCGGTATCACTTACAGTCCATTAGATACAATAAATCCACCTTCCTCTCAGTTGCCGTCATCCCCTCTGCAGACAACAGGCTCAGTAAGGTGGAACTGGATGAGGTTAAAGTGAGAAAACATGAACTACTGTTTTTATTATAAAAGAGATTATGTGAGTTTAGTGTGGATTTGGATGCAAAATAAGTACTTTTATGCAGATTTCAGTCCGTGCAATTTTGCGACTTCAGGTTAACAAAACTACAGTAACGGTAAAAACACTTTTCTACACACATCCCAACATGTACGCCAACAGGAAAAAGGACCCCTCCGGTTTATTTTGGAGCAGGAATAATTATTTTTTTATGTAATGAGGCAGTTCTGCTCTGAGGAGAAACTGTGTGTGTGTGTGTGCCATGAAGACTCTCCCAGCTGGGATTGTACAGATAATTCACATTTTAGAGGTCACAGAGGTTTCAGAAAGGAAGAAAGAACCTTGAATTTCCAGTAATTAGCTCACTGACAAATTCTCAATGAAAAATCTCCTTCTAATTTTTTTACAAAGTTTTTGATACAGCCTCAAATTGTTTGATTATTAAAAGAAAACACGATTAATGATTAGCCTTCTGTGATTTGTAAAATCTTAGCCTAGATTATGATTCAATTATGTACACTTTCTGTTTTGTTTGTCATGGGTCACATATTTCAAGTGTTTTATTTTATTGTGTGTGTTTGCATATTGAAATGTATCTCCCACTATACAAAGACGGAATGACCGATATTTTAATGTAATCACAAATTTTATTTTTACGTCCTTATGTTTGCTAATGAGTTTCAACTGAAAGTGACCCTTTGCAATAATAATGTAAGGTACAGTCCGCTCAGCGGCTGGTCGATGCAGGCTCAAGTGAGTGACTCATAATATTGTTGGTTTTTTTTGCAGGATGCCAAGGCTTTTTTTTTTTTGCTTTTCAAGTGTGCATTGTCATAATAAAACCAACTGGTACGATAAAAAAAGAAAAATTCCTCATTCATGTATCTGATTTTCTTCCTGTTTCTTTTGGGAGTTTTTTCCACCTGTCATATTCCCCACTCCGAACCTGACTGATGTTTATGGATGAGGTTTTTGATCACTGTCACTTTTTCTACTGCTCCCACTTAGCCTTGAATTGATAAATCCATGTGTCTGAAGTCCACAAGAGGTTTTACCTCCACAGACGGCAGCTTGCTGCCTGGCAACCCGTCTACAGTCTCTGGACTCACTGGAACGGTCGCACTGCTGTCCTTTTTGTACTAAATTATATTGCTATTGAATGACTAGTTGGACAATTCAGTTTGAAAGCTCTGCCCATTAAAAAGGCTCCGCTGTGAAAACACTCTCTCAGCTCCATCTGTCTTCACACACGCTGCATACAGATAATTTGCATTGATTACTAAGAATATTGATTTGAGCTCTGTGATAATTTGGAAGCAAAGATGAATGTATCCCCAAGATGTCGCTCGTTGTTATTGATAAACGGATGATAGTGATGACAAAGATTAGCAGAGGATTGATTTTGTTTTGATTGAGACAATTTAAGAGGTAGCTGAACCGACAAAGTCCCCATCTTTAATGCTAAAATCACAGATACGCTCATCTCTGAGGTAAAGGGGGTCTTGATTATAAGTCAAAAAAAAATGTAAAAGATTTATTGGATTTCATATTTTATATTCATGATATTTTGCCTTTACTCTGTAGACCAGCGCTCTGCCACTTACCTCAGACAGATTTCTCATCTCAAAATGTGCTGAAAATCTGATTGGGGATTCGGGAAGATTATAGATGTGCTGAGTTTGCATTCTACGAGGCCTAATCAGTCGCCTTCAAAGTAGCAGACAAGCTCAATCTATCACTGAGAAGTTGCTCAAATGATTTGTAATGCCATTTTATCTGTATCCTGCAGGAAGGTTGCATCATAAAGAGTCATATTTATTAACCCCAATAGGTCAGGTTTTGAACCATCTAAAGGTTTAACTATGTAACTTTTACCTCATTAAAACGTGAAAACATGCTTCTAGTGTCAAACTGCACATACATCATTTAAACATTACTGTAGGAACAGGAAGAAACACTAATTTCTGACTGGAGTCCAGATCCTGAGTCCTGTTTTGTTTTTCACACAATAAACGGTGAGAGATGTTTGTTATTAAGGGGCCAGGGTTGGTTCTTTAAAGCCTCTCAGAGCAGCAGAATGATACTTGATAAATACAAAAAAACTTATCAGAATAGAAGACCCAGAGTGAATGACCCTTCATAAGTCCAGCCCCTTTTTGGTTTGTGCTCCAATAACAGTTGAGCAAGTTGTGGTTTCAAAAGGGGTGGGACTTAGCAAGGGTCACTTGTCAGACTGCACATTTAACAGTGACTCCATGTTCCCCAGATACTCAGTTCTCAATGTTCCTACATTATCAATATTGGCCTGAAATATTGGTAAAATCAGGTTGAAGTTAATGTCTAAATTAAGATTAAACAACACTCACTTCTGAATCAAAAGATTAGGTCAAAGTGGTAATTTTAGAAGTTAAAAAGATCTTCTCCTCTAACGGTAACAATCCTGGAAGAAGAAAAGCAAAGATAAAGGAGACGCAGGCACATTGAAGTGAAGTGGCGTTCTGTTGTCTTTCTTTTGATTGAGCTACCTTTGTGTTGTGCTTGTTAGATGTGGGCTACGGGCATTACAACATATAACCAAGTATGCAGAGAAAAAGGAACAATATTCATTTTATTCTGATCTTTGGGAATGTTTTAGCTTTTCTCTTTTAGTTGAACATATTCTTCCATTCAGAAAGTTAAATTTCCATGCAACAAAAGCAAATATTTCCAACAAAACTTCTGGTCAAATTAATATATTTTTTAAATAAATCATTACCCACAAAATACTAAACACACCTATCAATATGAACCGGATGCCATTTGTTGATGCTTTCAGATTCTAGTATGTGCCAAAAAAATAACACAAAACAAGCCTATTCATTGCAGCATGAATCATATTCTTTTCTGCAAAGATTTTACTAAAGCAGTGGTTCCCAACCTGGGGGTTAGGGCCCCCAATAGGGGTGGCCAAAGCTTCATGGGGGGGTGTGAGGACTTCTTGAGTTTCAGGCATGTAAGAAAATGTAAAAAAGAAATACACCCAGTAGACCTACATCTCAGAATCCTGCATTACAACTGCAACTGCAACGCAAATTATTGTTACAATTACAATTATATAAATTGTAAATAAATTAGGACCCAGTTTGGACCCTTGTGGGACGCCATTTTGTATATTTAAAAAGTTAAAAAATAAACCATCAACTTCGATACTTCTGGTTCTACAACTCAAGTAGTTTTCGAACCATTTAACGGGTTTTGAAGACAACGATATGTCCTATATCAGAATATGTGTCTGATATGTTTTTTCTGCAAAAAACCTTTAATTTCAACATTAAAATCATTCAAAAAAAGTAATTTACTCCAGGAGTCGGGACCCTCCACTAGGGGTCCGTCGCACTTGATTTTAAGGCATGTAAGGAAACTTTTATTTTGTTTTGTTTTTTTGGAGGTAGCATAAAGGGAACTGTATCTAAATTTCATTCTACAACCATCTTGTGAATGACAATAAAATATCCTTGAATCCCTGAAAGTTTTAACAACCACAGAGCTAAGCGCAGAAGCTGAAGAATCATGTTGATTGTTATTATTGTTAGGTATGATAGTTAAAAAAATAAATAAATACATAATACAGACAGAAAATTGTATAAAAAGTTCCCAAAAATATCAGGAAAACTGATAATAATCTGTTTAAGATTGCTTGTTTGACACAAACTGTTTACAGTTTATTAATTGTTCTCTACTGTTACTGTTATAATATCACTTATTCAGGGGTTGTGAGTTTAAAGATAGAAAAGAGGTCCCTGAAGGGAAAGGCTCGCAGTGTGAATGTAACCTATAATATCTGTGTTTGTAAGAGAAGTCCTCTGCTGTGCTAAGATGATGAAAATCAATTGGATTTCTTAGAAATCACAAAAGACTTTTAAACAAACGAGTTAAAGAGAAAAAATGTAATAATGCATTTATGAGCTTTTTTTAGTCCGTTTCATGGAAACGTCTGATCTTAATCCACAACTTCAATCCTGTCAAATCCTCTTTTAAACACAAAACAATGAAGAAAGGAGAGACCGATTTTATGCTGCTGTAACAAGTTAAATATGAATTATTCCTCCTAGTTTTAGTTTTTGATTTCACAGGGTACTTAAAGGTCCAGTGTGTAACATTCAGGAGGATCTACTGGCAGAAATATTCATTACTATGTTTTTATTAGTGTTTAATTAGTAGAAAATGAGAATCATTGTGTTTTTGTTACCTTAGGGACAACAGCACCCGCAACCAACAGTTGGTCTGGTTGATCTGACTGACAGGGTTCCCACGTGTCCTGGAAAACATGGAAATTTAAAGTTTTCCAGTCATGCAAACACCTGACCTCTCTCTCTCTCTCTCTCCTTCTTCCTCTCTCTCTATTTATATATACATATATTATATATATATATAATAATAGTATATATCCAGATATATAATATATTAGTGTGGTGTGGTGTGTGTGTGTGTGTGTGTGATCGACAGGAGGGAGTCTTCCATGTTGAACCATGTTTCTACAGTTTCCCAGAACAGACAAATCAAACACTGGCTCTAAAAAGGGGCTTTTATGTTTTTCGCAATATTTAGTTGGTTGCAATCTGCATTCACCACCAGATGGCACTAAATCCCGCACACTGGACCTTCTGAATGTAAGACAGTTAAATAGTCAGCCCTCATTTGATAAATGTTTTAGATGTGTTAGCACAATTATAGTCATACTGAGCACTTGTTTAATCACTCCCTGATGTATTTCAAACTGATCCACTTCCAAAACCATTTTTGTTGAACCATAGCTGCCAGTGTCAAACACTTCCTATGTCTAGCTTACGTCAAAATAAAGGTCAACCCATGTTTCGCCAGTTAAATGCTTTTAATGTGAATCTGCAACAGCAGGAAATGTTCGGTTTTGCATTTGGTTTGATATGCAGCTCAGATTCCTATGAGCCGAGCATTTGAAACCAGTGGTTCACAACCTTTTTCCTTCAGGGACAAGTTTTCTAATCTGACAACCCCTCACTAAGAGACACATTTTATGTATATTTCATATTATATTGAATGCGTAACAATAACAGAAAAGAACAACTGACAAACTAAACAGTGAACACAATAACTGCAGGGAGCAAAACAAGTAATCTTGAGCAGATTATTTCCTGTGAATATTGATCAGAGATGAGTTTTTCTGATATTTTTAGGAACTTTTCATGCAACTTTCTGTCTGTATTATGTATTTATTATTATTTTTAACAGTCATACAGACTTGATAGGCTTTTATTTTTGAATGTTTTCTACTCCCTGATGCTTCTTCTATAAGATCTGATGTTAAAACTGAGTACTGTTCAAGGATTCAAGAATATTTTATTGCTATACACAACAAGGTTGTGACCCCGAGGTTGAGAACCACTACTCTAAACGTCAGTATCGTTAACAATCACATTCATTTAATTGTGGGAGGACAAAGTGGTTATTAATATTGGATTAATTGTGCAGCCCTACATACAATACAAAGCACATTTGAAAAGGAAGCTTTAATGACACATTGAGAACCAGCTAAAAATGTATTTGACAAAATGGAGCAAAGGGGGTAAAAAAAAGACAGATTGTCCTTGAGTCAGCCCTCTGATAGATGATTAGCTCTCTGTGGAGTTGTGACAGACTTTATGAGATGTAATTTCAGCTGACTGAACCGCTTTTTTCAGTAATTGAACAACCTCATGAAAGGTACGAGATTGTACAGTTGTGCAGTGCATTGTTTGAGGAAATGGTATATAGCCCCCTCCCCCCGTCACAATCCTGTTCTAGCTCTTTTTGCAGCAACGGTTGATTAAAACCCTACACTGCAGCTCATGTGGGTCCGGGTTATAAAGGCGAG